AAGGAAGGAAGGAAGGAAGGAAGGAAGGAAGGAAGGAAAAAAAAGCAATAGTACATAGACTTATATATTGCTTTATAGTGCTTTCCAGCCCTCTCTAAGCAGTTTACAGAGTCAGCCTCTTGCCCCCAACAATCTGGGTCCTCATTTTACCCACCTTGGAAAGATGGAAGGCTGAGTCCACCTTGAGCTGGGATGGATAGATGGATGGATGGATGGAAGGGAGGGAGGGAGGAAGGCAGGAAAGAAGGAAGGAAGAGCAATACCACTTTAACAATGCTTTACATCCCTCTCTAAGCCAGAGTCAGCCTCTTGCCCCCAACAATCTGGATCCTCATTTGACCCACCTCGGAAGGATGGAAGGCTGAGTCAACCTTGAGCCTGGTGAGACTCAAATTGCCAAACTGCAGGCAACCAGCAGTCAGTAGAAGTAGCCTGCAGTTCTGCCCTCTAACCGCTGCACCACTGTGGCTTCTAAGTTGCTTCTCTCCTTGATTGGTTTCCGCCTGTTGCTTCTTGTCCTGCCTGGTGCTTTGGAGAATAGATGGACCCCCTCTTCTTCTTTGGGCAGCCCCCTCAAATATTGGAAGGCTGCTATCATGTCCTCTCTAATCCTTCTCTCCAAAAGTCTAGATATACCTGGGTCCCTCAACCATTTAGCCTCCAGCAACGAGAAAAGAAGCAACCTAGAACTAAGGAGAAATTTCCAAACGGTAAGAGCAAATAAACTTATGGAAGAACTTGCCTACAGAAGTGTTGGGTGGCTCGATCCCTGAAGGCTTTCAGAAAAGAGGCTGGACAACCATTGATCTTGAAATCGTATAGGGTGTCCTGTCTAAGCAGGGGGTTGGACTAGAAGACCTCCAAGGTCTCTTCCAACTCTGTTATTCTATCTTCTGTGCCCTATCTTTGTTACTCTAAACATTTTCTGTGATTTCATGCCTTGTCTTACTGAGTTGCCAAGAATCACAATAGTCCTCGACTTATTACCATTCATTTAGAGACCGTTCAAAGTGACAAAAGCACTGAAAAAAAGTGGCTTATGACCGTTTTTCACACTTACAACCATTCCAGCATCTCCACGGCCACGTGATCCATATTCAGACTCTTGGCAACTGGCTCGTACTTATGACGGTTGCAGGGCCATGTCTTTTGCAACCTTCTGACAAGCAAAGCCGACGCCAAAGCCTGATTCACGTCACAACTGTGTGACCAGCTTAACAATGGCAGGGATTCACTTAACAACAGTGGCAAGGAAGGTCGTAAAATGGGGCAAACCTCACTCAACCGCTGTCTCACTTAGCAATGGAAATTTTGGGCTCAGTTGTGGCCACAAGTCGAAGACTATTTATTATTACGACTATATAATTATTTAAGGGCAGTTGGAATACAAGGTACATCTTTCCCAGTTATTTAGGCCATCCTGCAACGGTGGGATTCAAATTTGTTTACTACCAGTTCTGTGGGCATGGCTTGGTGGGCATAGCAGGGGAACGATACTGCAAAATCCACATTTCCAACCCACTCCAGGGAAAAAGATATACTGCAAAATCCCCCTTCCCTCCCCACCTCACCAACCTGCTTTCCAGCTCCATTCTCCTGTGCAGGGCAACTAAAGAAAACCCAGCCGATCAGATGGGACTCAATGGGAGGCAGAGAAGAGATGGCGGAGGGGCCAGTCAGAGGTGGGATTCGCTGTTTCTCCAAACTACTCCAAACTTCCACTACTGGTTCTCCAGAACTGGTCAGAACCTGCTGGACACCCACCTCTGTTCCTACCACTTAATTACAATGTTTTTGAAGTAAGTAGCAGAAGGATAACCCCGTTGTGGTTGACGTCCAGCCCACCCAGAATTAGAAACATGGCCTCTTGTCCATTAGTGCAGGCCACGTGTGGTCCTCAGCTGGGAGAGAGCAAGATTGATCTCCACTTTCAGAAAACTCTAAAAGCTCTTGAGGAACCCTCAAAGGCAATATAGAGTTATTGGTACAATTTCTGACACAAAACCCATCTCTAGTGTTTGTGTGTCCGAACCAAACAAAGCTCTCAACTAAATGTCAGGAGAATCCATTTTGACGACATTGATTGAATACACCAAGGATGGACATGTTTGAGTGAGTACAGTTACAAGCAATCCACACGTATTTCTCCACTCATACTTCTCTGCCTACTTTGCAATCTTCTCTTTGTCTTTGGCAAACTTTCAATTTCCACAAGATGAAAATAACTCTCTTCATCTTGTGGAAATTGAAAGTTTGCCCAAAGTTGCCCGAATCCGTTGGGAAAATTCCTGCAATTCCTAATTCCTTCATAGGTTTTAGCCTCCAACCCCTTAATCATCTCTGTTGCTCTTTTCTGCCCTCTTTCCGGAGTCCCAACATCCTTTTTACATCGTGGTGACCAAAACTGGATGCAGAATTCCAAGGGTGGCTTTACTAAGGCCTTATAAAGTGGTACTAACACTTCGCACAATCCAGATTCTGCCCCTCTGTTTATGCAGCCTAGGACTGTGTTGGCTTTTTTGGCAGCTTCTGGCTCCTATTTAAATGGTTGTCCACTAGGACTCTGAGATCCAACTCACAGTTACTACTGTTGAGCAGTTTCACCTAATCTGCACCTGTGCATTTGGTTTTTCTTGCCTAAGTTTAAAACCTTATTTTTCTCACCACTGAATTTTATTTTGCTAGGTAAGGCCCAGTGCAGTGGTGGGATTCAAATATTGTAATTTAACAACCGGTTCTCTGCCCTAATGATTTCTTCCAACAACCAACCAGTTCATCAAACTGCTCAGGAAGTTAACAACCAGTTAACAACCAGTTAACAACAGGCTGAATCCCACCACTGGCCCAGTCTCCTACTGAGATTCATCAGGATCTTGAGAGTCTATCTTCTGGGGGTGTTGGCTACTCTTGCCAGGGTTCCTTTGCCAAAACGTTATTTGCCCTTTGGAGATAGTATTTGACTGAACCATCCCAATGAGAAGGTTCCTTGAGATGTCTCCTTGCTTCTTCCACAGCCCGAATGTAAGGTCTCGATGGTGTTCCTTAACTTTTCCACCATGGCCAACTTCATGTGGCTCTTAGTAGAAGCTATCTACCTCAACTGCCTGCTCCTTTCGTCCTTTTCCCACGGAAGCAAATACTACTGGTGGCTTGTCCTCTTTGGATGGGGTAAGTCCAGCTGACTTCTTGACCCATTTTTTTAATTGATGGGGTTAAACTACCAACACTCAAGTGACACCATCGGTATGATGCGGGGAGCCAGTAAGGAACCAGACTAGAAAGCAGGAGACGGTGAGTTCTAGTCTTGCCTTAGGCATGAAAGCCGGCTGGGTGACTTTGGGCCAATCACCAGGAGACGGTGAGTTCTAGTCCTGCCCTAGGCATGAAAGCCGGCTGGGTGACTTTGGGCCAATCACCAAGAGACGGTGAGTTCTAGTCCCGCCTTAGGCAGGAAAGCCGGCTGGGTGATTTTGGGCCAATCACCA